TTCATGTCCATTCACTGGAGGTGTGGATCTATTGCATGGCGTTCCTCACATCAAGAAGCTGTCGATCAACGTCAGTACAGCTCTTCCTGCATCTGGAGCTTGTGAAGGACTTCTCAGTCATGCAGGACTCCTGTTCACTGCTGAACAGTCACAGCTTCACAGAAAGAACCTTGAGAGCAAACTACTGCTGAAGCTGAACCATCACCTCACCGAGTGAAGAAATGGCACATTTTTGCTAAATATGCAGAAATAGATGCACACCCATACAATTTATGGTAAACTGAGCTGCCTTGTATGAACAGATGCCTCGTTCTGTTTTCTCTGAGGCTGCTGTGCCATTTGGAGCAAAAATGAATATAAAGTTTACAGCATATCTTGTCACTGGAAATTGTTTGCACTGTTTATATATTTATATTATTTACTGCAGGTATTGGTGAAAAAAGCTTTGTTGTGAAAATCAACAATTGTTGTGCCTTATTTTGTTGATGTTTTTGCATATATTCCTTTTGAAAATACTACAATTTGTATATTTATTTATTTTTGTTTGTCTGATAGCATTTATTTATAAAATAAATCAGACATTTCAAACAGTTACTCACTACTTGAGTAGTCTTTTCACCAAGTACTTTTTTACTCTTACTCGAGTAACTTTTTTGAAGACTACTTTTCACTTTTACTTGAGTAATAATATTTTAAAGTAATGCTACTCTTACTTGAGTACAATTTTTGGATACTCAACCCACGTCTGGAAACAGATTGATCAGATATTGCTGTTTGAAAGGCCTGCAAGAGACGGCACAGCAGAACGCCTTTTGTTCTTGTACAAGTCACATACAAACACCTCAATGTGTTTGTTCTTTAGAAACAAATGTAGACAATTCTCTGACCATGTGGAAGAAAAAGTGAAAGTCTTTGGAACCAATAGGCTGTTGCTACTAATGAAGCGTATGCTGATGTAGCTGGATAGGCTACTCGCCTTTCCTTTTCTCTCTCTCTCCCTCGCTCGCTCTACTGCTCTCGCTCTCTCCTGCGCTCGCTCTCGGCTGCACAGGTTAATTGGGAACCACCTGCATATTGATTGCATGGTGGCGTCAGCCCGTATAAAGCTAAGCCGGTGTTTTTCTGGATCATTCCTCCCGTGCATT